TCAATCGTTCATTAAATCAAAGAGCATCTGTTACAGAAGAAATATTATATAATTCCCTATTATGATACGAAATAGTGATGTAAATGTATTACAGAATTTCAAACAAATGCAATTTACTAGATATCAATTTCAAGCTTTCTATCTAAAATGTTTCCTCATGCAAAAATAAATTCCAAGTTTATGCTTTAAATTCTATCATTCTAGTTCTTCAAAAAAAAAAAACTTTATATAAAATGTTTTCTCAAACGAGAAAAACATGAAAGTCTAGTAAACTTCTTTAAATCTTTTGAATGATTTTAACATCAGTTTTATTGGATTTCTCCTGAATACGAAAAACTACATTAAACTTGTTTTCCCAATAGCATAAGGAAGTTTTGAAAATAGATCAGATGCAAATTTTGACCCAAGGGCACGTAAAACTTTAAATGTTTGAGAAGAATTGTCATGGGATAAAGAAAATGTCTGGCATATTTTGTAATAAATTTCTTTATTCTTTTAAAAGTTTCTTATAAGCCCAGAAGGGATATTTCATTATTTTAGATAATAATAAATAGCCAAATTTGGAATTAAATGGAAAAGAATTTCTTACTTTCTAATATGTAGAATTGAAATAAAATTTTTCCCTTATTTAAATGAAATAGAAAATTTTGATTACACAAGCTGGAAAAAATTCTGGTAAGATTATCGTAATGTAAAATAATGACATTTCTGGCTTTTTAAATTAAAAAAAAAAAAAAATGGTTTTTTAATAAAACTCGAAAATATGGTATTTAAACCATTCATTCATATAATATCGGACATTCGGTTTTTTAAATTATAGTTCTTAATACCTCACATTCACAAAAAAACTGAAAAGTAAATTTAATCGAACATAGGATTTTTAAGCCATGCTTTTAGGTATCATGATAAAATTACAAAATTTTACCACAATTATCAAATTTTATCACATTTATTATAAAACCATAAATTAATGTTACTCAAATCATTACCAAAGCACTTTGGTAAATTTTCCCAAGTCTTTTGGTGTTCTCAGATAGCCTAAAATACTGTAAATATTACCATACTCTGGTAGTTTTTACCATATTTTTTTCAGCGCAGAATTTAAAGTGAAAAATTAAAGAAATTCTGAATTAAAACAAAACAAAAGAGATTTAAACATGTGTGAACCCAGTTACATTATTTGTTTTCAAATCGATGAATGAACATAACACATTATATTTATTAGCATTGATTATTATCAACATATTTTATTTAATTGATTTTCTCCAATTAGCATGGATTTATTTTGTTATAGATTTACAAAATTTAAAACTGTTTTTATTCTGAGTAAATCTGTACATTTTCTTTTAAGTGCATCTAGGAGATATTGTTAATGAAGACTACTTTAAAGCTTCATTAAAAATAAATCACATTGTAACTAAATTTAAAAGAATTGTTTATAAATTTGCAAATTTAACAAAGAAAAATTCAAATTATGGTCCAAGGGTTATCATTTATTTTTTAGGGGGGCAACATATGGTGGTTCAAAGTACAACACGATGTTTTGTTTTGAACCAATTTTCTTTACTTAATTTTTTTTTTATAAATTGTATGTCAGAATTAGTTTACAGAAAATAAAAATTTTCCTCCTGAGATACAAATTCTAAAATGTGCTCGAAAATACCATTTTTACTTGGAGAAAAAATATTTTGATGAAATTATCGAACTGTATGCAGAAAACATTTCCGGTAAAAAAAAATAATCCTGTTTAATAATACTAAAATATACTGTATTTGAACCATTCATTTGGTAATTTTCCAGTTCATATGATAATGATTTACCGGAAATTCTGGTTTCAAAATTATACTTTTTATTACTTCACATTTAGTAAAAATACAAAACGGAGAAGTAAATTTAACTGAATAAATGATTTTTAACAAACGCTCTAAAGCGTTATGAAAAACTACTAAATTTTATGACGTTTACAAAATTTTAACACACATTATAGATCAATATTTTTTGCTAATTTTACAAAACTCATTACCATTAAAAATTACGGCGCTTTTTGGTGCTCCAATCAGGGTTGATCGGTTCTCACCAAGTGAGATTTTACCGCTAATTAATATGGTTTTTACAACCCATGAATTTTTTTGCCTTGGAGATAATTGTTTCGGGGAAAAAAACAAAGCATTTTTCCTATTTTCAGAAAAATTCATTTGTTGTTAGTTATTAACTTGTTTGAATTTTAATGCTAGGTTAAGTGTAGTATGGAAGAGAATACAATAAGGGTAAACAATAACATTTATCATTAAATATTAAATATTCCGCTTTCATCTACTTATGTTTTTCCCTCTATTGTGTTTTTCTCTATTGTGTACTTTGTGTTTTTCTCTATATTCTATTTGTAACAATGAATTTAATTCTTAAGAAATATTAATAACTAATGTTCATGCTAAATGAGTATATTATGATAAAAAGTAATCGAAGGTTAAATTTATGAACTTATTTATTTATTTTTGACTCTTAAATATTCATATGTTGAAACTATGAAAGGATAAATTTTTATGAAGTTGAATAAAAATTATTTCAAGTTTGTTGACCACGAAATAATGTACTCAAAATATTAAAATATGATCAAAACTATCATATTTTTTACAGAATAAGGTCATTCCGAAATACAAAAAAGTTTATTAAATAATTATAATAAAATTTTAGTTTATAAGGTTTGGTAAAGCTGATAAAAAAATTTCCTTACAAAAATTATAAATTATAATTTTTTCAATCGATGTTTAATTTTGTAAGTATCAACTTTTCAGTTGCTTTCTTTTCTTGCTCTATTTTTTAAAGAATATTTTGCTTTTAAATTGTCTTGATTTTTCCTTGTCTTCTTTGTATTATTCCTCTTGATTTTTTATTTGAACCACCACGATACCTGTTTTTGCCCTAAATATTTTTTTCATGTTTGGCATATATTAATTTATAAATTAATGTAACTTATAGATAAATTTAAACATTTGTGTATTATAAAATATATTCAGTGGTCTGCTCTTATATGACTTATTTCTAATATATAGACATCATTGATATTCATTTTTGTTATCCTTCAGATCTTTGAAATCTTCATACATAAAAAATTATTTTTATACTTTTAAATCATTTGAGCAAATGATTATTTTGGAAAATTTTGATCTTAAATCTTCACACAGCGTGAAAGAAGTAAATTAATTTTTTCCTAATCAAATTTTATAAAAATAAATGACGAAAGATTGGTAAGATAAATCTTTATTTTACCCATATCTCTACTGTATACTTTTAATATTCCAATTGTTCTTTTGTAAGAAACATAAAGAAAAATTAATGATTATTAATATCATTTCATTCTTTTTTTTTCGTCGTAAAATTCCAAAATTCTGCTCAAATGAGCTTTTTGGTTATTTTCTGTTTATAAATGCATGAAATAAATTTAATAATGCATATAATATTCTGTATATAATAAAGTTATGGTTTACAATGATATAACACAATAATGTAATTTATAATTATGGTTTTAACATTTAATTAAGGTTTACCAGCTCATATTGAAAATCTACTACATTTATCAGTTTTCTAACGTTTTAATAGTTGAAGATTTAACACAACTGGTCATGTGACAAATTAGTTTTATAATTGCAATTTAGGAGATAGCTTACATCATATCACTGCCCAATGGTTTGTTACTTGCTCATATACATATGTATAAATATATATTTAATAATTCGCAATATTAACTATAATATGGAAATAATATATATTCCTATCAGCTATAAATAACAGACACTATATCTGTAAATGAATGAACATGGGTTAATAGTATTTACCAGGTTTCTCTCAAGGTTTTTACCGGTTAAAACCCAACCCTGGTTCTCATAGAACCGAAACACGGCAAAATTTACTATATACTGGTAGTTTTCACCATACTTTTTTCCCTCAGTGTTGAAATATAATGCTTTGATGAAAGTAAACACATGAATGTGGAATTTCTTTCACGATTTACAATTAAATTTTACTTAATTCTTATTTTTAATTATTGCATAAAAATTGATTTTATTTTCTTACATTTCTTATGATTATTCAGTGCAATTGAAAATTCAGACCAGAGAGAGTAAAGTTATTTTTATCTAAGCGATTGCTTCAAAAACTCAATAAAGTCTTAAAAAACTGTCTTTATTAGTGATAAAGTTTCACCAAATGTTGTCCCTTATATTAAATGCTGAATTTCAGAAAGTTACATGCGCTAGTTTTAAATATCAAAAGTCTAAAGTAAAATTAATTTGATTATAACACATTGCAACAGAAATTGAAAAGTTAAATTGATTAATAGTACCACATCAACTGCTATTTCCGCTTTTTTTAGTAATAGCTAGTTCATCTTCTGTGTAACAATTTCGGTTAGATTCTTCCGTAGCGCAATTTTTATGCAATTTTGCGTCCTTTTCATTAAAAAAAGCTTTTTGGCTTTTAATGAAAATTGAATATTTAAAATTATTACTTTTAAACCATATTTGAGTGCAGAGAAATATTTACGGAATAAAATGTGTGTTGAAAAAGAAGTTAAAAATGAGTTAGGAAATACGAGATGTTTTTAAAGAGACTTTTACTTTAGGAAAGATCTGAGAGATGCACAACGGTCTTAAAAGTAACCTTGAAATTGCTTTTTCAGTGCACAAAATGTTTTCGTATTTGTCACTTTTTCCTTAAAATTGTCTACATAGCTCAGAGGCTTTCAACGTAAATGTACTTGCATTTTTAGTTTGAAAAATGTCTTATTTTTCCAATTATCTGGTTAGGCTTCATATTTTAAACAAAATTATTTTTTGAAATGCAATTATACTTTTAAAAAAAAGTAAACCGAAATTCCACCAGAAAATTATTATATTTACATAAATTTCTTTGTATTTACATAAAGTTCTTTGCATTTACATGAAGTTCTTTGTATTTATATAAATTCCTTCATATTTACACCAATCGATTTACCGTGCTACATGAAGCAGCTAGCATTTAAAAGAATTAATAATGTCCCCATGGACGCTGTTCAGCTGCATACAGATGGCGGTAAACTTGATAGTGACAGATCGGGCAACGGCATTTATATTAAACTTCGGAATCAGGAAATGAAAATCAAGGGAAGAAATCCGCACTTCTGCTCGGTATTCCGAAGTGAATTTATTGCAATTCTCGAGGGTCTGGGTTCCATCATGTCGCTTTCGCTGTTTATTGATATCTGGATCTTTTCGAACAGTAAAAGTGCTATTCAGCACCTGGCCGATTGGCATAATGTCAGGGTCAGTGTTGGTGCTGACATTCTAAGGAAACTAAAACTTATTTTCTTTTCTCATCGAATCCACTTTCAGTGGATTCCGTCACATGTCGATATAGCTGGAAATGAGATTGCTGACAGTTTGGCCAAAGCAGTTTCTGAAGAGGCCATTGCGACTGCTGCTCCTCTTACTTACTTGGAGCATTTTTCTAAATGTAAGGCAAAGAATATGGCCATTTGACGGTCCAGCCGGTACACTCATGGTATCAGAGTGGGTGCCCTGTGGGCTCCTTGACTCGGGGCAGCAGTAGACGAGAACAAACTGCCATTACTCGTTTCCTCAGTGGACATCTGTCATCAATGACTTATATCAATGGTAATAAACATTTCGAAATCTGCACTAAGTGTTCTGCTACCCAGGTCTCCCCTGACCACATTCTATCTTGTCCGGGACTTACCAGACAGGACATGGTTTAAGCTCTCCTGTTGGTGCTAGACTATCTCAGAGTGAACGAGTTCATGAACCTGATCTAACTCTGCTGGTCATGGGGATGAGGACAACAGCAATATATTTACACCACTGTACGAAAATTGATACTCAAATTTCAAAAAGCTTTGTGTTTACAAAGTTGTTCATAATATAAATTTCACAAAGCTGTTTTGTGGGCACAATATAGGTAAGTCAACATAGCCCCAACAACAAAAGAAGGAAAGATAGAACAGCGAGATTAATTACACACATGCTCGAGGAAGGATTCGAACGCGGGATCCTCCTGGTGTGAGACCAACTCCTAACTGGCGGCATCACTCTTTCTTTCTTCTAGTTCAGTTTTCTAGTTTTGTCGTTCTAGCTAACAATCTCCCACAATGCTTTTCGATGAAGTTCCGAGTTGAGGAAACAAATTCGTTATATATTTCAGAATTCGCGCTTCTTCACAATTTAAAGAAATGATTCTTAAAATTCGAAAAATTCAGTTCAAGGATTGCTGAATCAGTAAAATTGAGAGTTTTATTTCTGAGAGTGTGTTTTTAACTGGTTAAAGAATTAAACCAACCAAAGATTTTTAATAAATTTTATAAATTCATTTTTTATATTTTCTATATAAGTATCGACTGTCAAACTATTAGTTGCAATAATATTTTTTGTTTTTTGAATATTATTTTTACCTTTTTGATAGCAAAACAATAAAATATATCGAAAACTTTTTTTTTTTAGTTTTATTTGAAATTTTACCAACCAAAAACTACTGCGTAGAATCAATTGAACTGTCTTGCAAGCAAGCCTTGCTATATCAGCTGTCAAAATAATCAATAATTTTGCGTCTTGATTGTGAAGTTGGCAGTGACGAAATACAATTAAATTTGCTGTTAGGAAAAAAACGAAACTACTTTCCAATCAACCAATAATTGTAAATTTGGAACGAATTTTTGATTTGAAAGAATAGAGGGTGAAAATTGGCCGTTGGTGTCACAATTTCCAAATTTTTTAGACGATAGAATCAACGGTTCTGAATTTATAAGAAACACACAAACTCTTCCTTTTATGATTATCGATTTTAAAAATTAACCAAAACGCTTAGATATTGATCTTCATTTTATCTACTTTTAATAATGAATTACAAATATCATTGGAGAATTTGTAATAAATGACTTTCTTTTAATAAATGTTATTTTTGTAAAAACTGTTTTTATAACTTGATATGGAAACTTCAATGTTTGTTCTTAAACTAAATCTGATTTTATCTCCAGCATGCATTGAATGCTAAATAAAAACTTATAAATTTAACTTGCAGTACTTAAATTTGTAACGAAAACTGCTCAAAATATTCTAGATGCATTCTCCCGATAGGGCTGTTGCTACAAATAAGACAACCTATTTCTTACGTGACAGACGTTTTTAAATCTTGATATACTCTTGCGACGATCGTGGCATAATCGTGGCAGCGTCACGTAAAATCTTTAGATCGATTTTGATATCAGAACTATTTTGATGCATACAATTTCTTTGGCATTAAATTTTATAATTTACTCAAAACATCGAGATTGTTAAATGACATAATAGGTGCCTACGAATTGTTGCTTGGTTTAATCAACTCTTTGGATTTGATATACCATAAAATAAATAAATGACAATGAGTACATGATTTAAGAGTCACATCGAAATTGTTATGATTGTTAAATGACAATGTTGATATATCCAAATAGTTGCATGATACATTGGAAAATAATTTCGCTTTTTTCCTAATTAAAATAAAAATATTTTTTCGTACTAAATAAATATTTTATTGAATTTTACTTACGTGTGTCTGGGTAGCCGAATCGGGGTGGATTCTAGAATAGCGCACCCACTGGTGATTTTTTGAAATGTGGCCAAGCGACTTTTTGAAATCTCGCCAAACTAGGTTTCACTATGGTTGTTTGGTATATGTTTTGTCGAGAGGTATGCAAGAGAAACATCGGAGAAAAGGTATATTATTTTTTTTTTATTTTGTTAAAAATATTTTAGTAAATATGTAATAATTTAAATAGTTATTTTAATAATAAAAAAACAATGTAGATAAAATTAATGATCCCCAACTTGGTGAGATTTCGAAAACTTGCCATGGGGCGGGCTGTTCTAGGAGTTTACCCCGAATGGTCATAGTTATCACCCTGGTGAGACAGAGTAGCGAGTTTGATCCTCACATCTCGAAAGAAATGCAAATATGTATGTATCTGACAATTAATCTTTTATTTATGATTTCTATGCCTAATAGACCATTCTATCACATTATTTAATGTTTCAGATTTATATCCATAAAAGCTCCAATGTTTCACGCGGAAACGTCAGTTGGCTCGTTCCTTGTGTATCCGAAGTGTCTCAATAAACGCGTTTGACTTTCTGAACTGATTCTGATTCCCTCTACACGTCAATATATTATTTATTCTGACCCAATACCTTTCGTGATTCTTCTAGCTGTTGAATGATTCTTGGCTCATAAAATATTTGGTCTTCGCTTGCACAAAAACTTATCCAGTGATTACCATTGGTGAACCAGGTGACCCAAACAAATATTAAAGACAACCCATTTTTCATCTTCTTGTGATGATGCCTTTCAAAACTGGCTAATTTTTTTCTCTTGATGTTTGAGAAGCAAATCGCAAACGCCCAACGCAACGTCACAAATTTTTTTCCCGTAAGAACATGAGGAAGCTATATTACGAGCATTGAGAATAAACTTAATTTAAAATGATCATGAACGGCCGAATTCAACAAATTTAATCTCTCAGTGACTTTATGAGTTGTTATTTATCAGTTTGCATTAATTAAAACTTTTATTTTGTCTTCATCAGCCTAAACTGGAACGGTGCGTCTTCGTTTGTATTAATCGAAATTTTGTCCAAAAACTAATCTTCTCCATACGCATCGGATAATTTCTTTTTCATTTTTGGACAGCGTTTTTACCTTTTCCATGGCAAAGAAGTAAAAATGCCAAAATTCCTGCTTTTCACATTCGATATTTGAAAAGGCCCCAACAGAAACTGCCGCGTAGAATCGATAGAGCTTTTTCAAGCTTTGCTATATCAGCTTTCAAAATTTATTATAATCATGCGATTTAAATGGAAAATTGGCTTTGAAAAATTATCACGAAGTTCTCTGTTGAGAAAAACTAAAGTACTTTTCAAACAATCCAATAATTGACTTATCTAAACGGTTGTATGATTAAATTGTTGCAGTCGAATTTTTGCATTATAGAATTGACACATCACTGTGAACAAACAATGCAATTGATGTATCCAGATAAATATCCAAACTAACTGACTCATTCAAATTGTTGCTTAATATATTTATCACATTCAAACTTTTGCACGATATAATTTTCACGCCTGACTTTTGCACGATAAAATTGTGTCATATGCAAATATTGCACGATATATTTGCGATTCTTTCATTGTTGCATATTATGTGAGACAACCGACAAATATCTCTATATAACATAAAATCATAATGAACCTACACCGTTTTCCATTGTTGTCAGAGCATTTTTATTGGCCGAAAAATCACGTGGTAGGATCCAGTTTTCCCCCATTCATCTCCATATTGTTTAGGTTGTCATCAGCATAAAATTAACGAAAGTCGTAAAGTTATTGTTTTCCTTTAAATATTTTTGTATCCCTAATTTAAAGTTTTTTTCCAGTACTGCTATTAATAGCGAAAATTTTAATGGTGAACTCATCAAACTTGTTTGAACAATATAATGTTATAAGAATATAAATGTTATTTTAAAAAATGATAATTAGAAAAGTCAGTTCTGTTCACCAAGTGATCTTGTGGTGCGCAAGAGCAATAACATAACAAGCATTTATATTTAGTTTTATGAAAAATAAAAACAACTTTGCTAAGACAACTCAATAATAATAATAATTACTATATTGACGTTCCAGACATTGGGATGTAAAAGTATTAATGGATTTATATATTTTATATTAACTTGTAAATAACTGTGTATATTAAATGTTGTGATGTCTCCAATTTACTTCGTTTTTATTTATCCAAAATCGCACATAGTAGGAAGATAGAAAACCTTCCCTTACAACTGGTGACCCGGACGTGATACTAACTTACGTGATACTTCGGAAAACTAACGGGCCAGTCGATTGAAGAGGCCAACGACTACGGCCATCCAAATTGCCGCCTCTTTCTTTTTGACAAGTCAAGCAAAAGGCACTATCTTATTGACACTGGGGCTGACGTGTCTGTTATTCCACCGCCAAAACCCAATAAACTGTTCCCATCTGATTTTAAACTTTATGCTGCAAATTCAAGTTCAATCAAAACTTACGGCAAGCAACTTATCAGTTTAGATTTAGGCTTGAGAAGACGTTTCAAATGGAATTTCATCATAGCAGACGTCTCAAAGCCAATAATTGGCGCAGATTTTCTTAAGGCACATGGACTTTTGGTAGACATTAAACAAAAACGTTTGCTTGATCCTTTAACATCATTGACAGTCTCAACTAAAATAATCAAAGGACCATCTTCATTTTTAACACCCCTCGATAGTAATAATCTAGATCCAGATATTCATTCTCTACTGCAAGAATTCAAAAACTTATCTTCAGAAAAAATAGAACTGAATAAAGTTAACTTCAACCATAATGTCACTCATGCTATTGTTACAAAAGGCCCACCCATAACATCTAGAGTGCGTAGATTGGCTCCAGAGAAACTAAAAATCGCCAAAGCAGAATTTGACTACA